TGGAATGTTGATCACAAATGAAGGGTCATCGGGCTCATCGCCCGCGGCTGCTGTCACAGACCAAGGTCCAAACCACTTGGGAAGCAGTTTGCGTGAAACATCCTGTTCCAGTGCAAACTCTTCCGCGGAGACCCAAACTAGATCACCGGCGCGGATGGGACATGGTACACGACGCCTGTTGGCTTGCTGCTGCATGCGGACTTGAGCCTTTTGCATATTTGCACGGGCTTCAGTCAACAATTCCCTATACTTCCGGACGAAAGAGGGAGAGCCGGCAGCGTCAATGTCGGCTGGTCGAGGGAGGAGAAGGTCGGCGAAGATCCGRCCTTTCCGTCCACCGTGGTGCAACTCGAATGGAGTCACGCCGATTGCCGGATACACCGAAGTGTTGTAGGCGAACTCGATGTCGGGGAGGCGGTCAACCCAATCTTTCTGGTCCGGACGGATGAGTGTACGAAGCATCATTTGAGCGGTCTGATGTGCCCGCTCCGTCTGCCCGTCTGCCTGAGGGTGTCGAGCCGAACTTGGTTTCATTGTTGTGCCAGACTCTTGCATGAGAGCAGTCCAAAACACCGACATGAAATGAGTGTCGCGGTCGCTGACAATGTCTTCTGGTACACCGTGGCCACAAATCCAACAAGTGTGCAGGAGGCGTGCCAGCTCGGGAGCCATGGAGTAGTACTTGCAAGGGAGAAAACGCGCGTACTTACTCAATCAGTCCACAACCGTGAGGATGCCGTCGTGCCCGAGCTGGTCGCGAGGAAACGGACCGGTGACGTCCATGGCAATCGAGAGACCGGGTTCCCGTGGGATAGGCATCGGGTGTAACTCGCCGTAGGGATTGCAGTTGCGGGGCTTGCTGCGTCGGCAAACTTCGCAAGAGTCGCAATACCGAGTGACATCGGTAATGAGGTTGGGCCATCGGAATCGCTGTCGAAGCCGTGCAATAGTGCGGTTGACTCCGAAATGGCAAGCGAGTCGTGAATCATGGTACTCGCCGAGGAGGCGAATCCGAAGACGACGGTCGCGTGGGACACATAGTAAGTCCTTGCCTCTCGAGTGGAGGAGCAAGAACCCGTCGGCAATGCGGTAATGGCTGGCTGGCGAGTGATCCGAAGATAGCTGTGCATAGAGCGTGCCGAAGTCCGGATCAGACTGATATGCCCGGATGAAGTGTCGCTGAAGCTCTTCGTCGAATGCGAAGGCATGATGTGTCATAGCGCAAAGAYCAGGTCTTYGCGAGAGTGCATCTGTTGCGCGATTGGAGAGGCCGGGGACATGCTTTGGTGTGAAGTCAAATTGGTCGATGAAGTACATCCATCGTCCGATCGTGCTGCTCACCGTGTCCTGCGTCTTGTAGTAGGTCARTGGATTGTTGTCTGTGATCCATGTGAACCTACGGTGCCCAAGGAGAAAGTGCCGCCAACGTTTGAGAGCCATCACGAATGCGAGAAGCTCCTTCTTCCTTGCATCATCAAGTGAGTTGATGGGAGGCACTTTGTGGCTGAAATACTCCACAGGGTGCCAGTCGTCGCCGTCGTGCTGTTCCAAGACTGCCCCAATGCCATAGCCGGAAGCGTCCGTAGTCACTCGCGTCGGCAGGGTGGGGTCATAGATGCTAAGGACGGGTGTCATGAGCATAGCCATCTTAAGTGCTTGGAATGACCGGCGTGCGTCGTCATCGAATACGAATGGCACCTTTGGCGACTGTAACCTCGTCATAGGTGCAGCAATCCTGGTGTATCYGGTGATGAATCGCTGATAGTAGCCCGCCAACCCCATGAATGAACGAAYGTYCGTGGTGTTGGTGGGCTCGGGCCATACTCRTAGGGCCTCGATCTTGTCCGCAAGCGGACGGATGCCTTGCGGCGTCACATAGTGTCCCAAGTACTCCAGCTCCTGCTGTGCRRACTCGCACTTGTCGCGGTTTGCTTTGTACTTGGCCTGTCGTAGCCGCTCCAAAACGGTGCGCAGGTGTTCCACATGCTCGTCCAGACTCCGGCTGTAAACCAGAATGTCGTCGAGATAGATGAGTACGAAACGATCCAGCATGTGTCGGAACTCCGTCATCATAGCCGCTTGGAAAGTGGCTGGGGCATTCGTAAGGCCAAATGGCATGACCAGCCATTCGAAATGCCCATACCGTGTCTTGAACGCGGTCTTGTAGCGATCCTCCTTGCGAATCTCGAGTTGGTGGTACCCTGACTTGAGATCTAGCTTAGAGAAGAACTGGGCGCCGCCCAATCGCTCGAGAAGATCGTCGATGCGTGGGAGAGGGGCGGCATTCCTGATCGTCTGCACGTTGAGCTTGCGATAATCGATGCACCACCGCAGGTCCTTGTTCTTCTTCCGGACGAAGAGAACAGGAGCACCGTATGGCGATGAGCTAGGCCGAATCCAGCCTTTCTCTAGAAGGTCGTCGAGTTGTGCCCGAAGCACACTTAACTCTTCCTCGCTCATTCGGTAGATGCATCCGCGCGGAGGTACGGCCCCGTCCTCGAGGATGATCTCGTGGCGGATGGGTCGATCCGGTACTACTACGTGCGGGCCTTCGAACACGTCGCTGTAGGCGTCGAGAAGTTCGATGATGCGTGGATTCGAAGGTGAGTCCGTCGATGAAGCGTCATGTGGCGGGAGGGCGTGGAGAAAACACACCCCCATCTCCTCGATGTCGTCTCTGATGATGGAAGCTCGCATGCTTGCGGCGGATACCACGCGGCAGCTGATCGAAGGATGAGGAAGAGGCACCGTGCATGGAACTAATACTCTGTTTCAGTCACGAACGTGAACGGTGCGGTTGAAGAAGTTCACCGGGTGATCCTTGCTTCACAGCCATGACATGCCCAAGATCATGTCGAATTTGGTGTCCAGAATGTCAAAGGACACCGCCTCACTTTTGCGTGAGGGGCAAAGTACACTGGGATGACGTCAATGCACCGGTCGATGGACTTATGCGTATGACCGTCTGCCAGAGTGACTTGCGTAGGCTGGGACTTCCTCCGGACACGTGGGCCAAGGCCGGCGCGTACCATGAGGTCCTGGCTGATGTAGTTGCGATCGATCAAGACACTGCAGGTCGCCTCTCCGATCTAAATGCGTACGTATAGCAATGGTGCGTCGATGTCGTCGTACCGTTGCGTCTTGAACTCGCGGTCGATCTTCGCGATGTAAACGTGAAGGTCGACAACCTCTACTCCGGCGTCCATCAACGGAGCTGGTACTGCAGTGTGCAAGTAGTCCCACAATTGTGCCATAAGCACGTTGCAATGCGGTTTCGGCAATCGTCAGGTCGAGGGAACGGGCATCCACTGGAAGTCCGTGAACGTCAGCGGGTCGAGCTCATCAAGTCTTGACCATGACGTCGAATCCCCGACGATAGAAGGCGGCGAAGCTGCCGAATCGTTTGCTGATGGTGATGAAACCGTGCATGCGGTGGACTGTTGCACATGGAGCGGTTGGTCCAGCGGTGGAACCAAGTGGACAGCATAATCCTCGTAAGTATACCGAGGACTTGCGACATTCGCATCCTCCCCAGATGTGCAGGAGGCCGATAGCAAGGCGGCCGAATCTGGCGGAGTAGAAGGTGGAGTCGCCTCACCTTCCGTGGAGCTCAGTTTCTCGAGCTGAGGCGGGGTCCCTGATCTTGGCACAGGGAGGTCTTGTGCTTGGTGCTGTTGCACCAATAGCAGCTGCCGTAGCGGCCGCGGACCTTGTACTCCGCCTCAGTTAAGCCAAACTTGACCCATGGAAACTGTCCTGGTTGTCCATTTCCGGCCTGCGATGCGGATTTCGCCTTCCCATTGTTGCGGGACTTGTTGGTGCTTTGCGGTAGCCACCTGATCTCCGTCACTTGATGCTGGAGTGGCTGCTGGGTTATCTCCACTGTCCTGCAGGACTGCAGCGAAGTGCTGCTGTCGCAGACCAGATCGTACCTGCTCCACATGGCGAGTGCTGGCGCGTCGTCGACGATGAACCGCTTTTTCCACAGCCGTGTCAGTTCCTCCCATGTGATTACTTCCTTCAAGTCTGGTACATCGACGCCGTGGGAGGTTGCCAGGTGGGTCAACCAGGTCTGGCATCCGCCCTTTGAGTTCAGGAACAGGGCGCCGATGTACGCATGCTTGTCTACGGGCAGAATCCTGAGTTTCGTTGTGAATGCTTCCCACCAGAGGACCGGATCCTGCTGCGTGTAGTCGTCGAACTTCTCCAGAGTGAACGTTGGCATCTTATACATCTTCAGATTGTCATTTGCGTTCGTCGTCTGCAGCTGCTGGACCTCGGTCTTCAATGTATGCAGCTGACTGCTGATGGTGGTGGTCGGCGCAGCGAAAGTGCTGATGTCGCCGAGCATTGCCACTATGTGGTCAACGCAGTCCTCCAGTTGGCGGCAAGAGGGTGCACTGCTAGAAGCCCCAGCAGCTGGTCCTGGTACAGCCTGTTCCAGGTCCAACAATCGGGCATTAAGTGCCCGAGTTGCATCCTCGTAGACCTGCACTGTGCGGCGGAGCGTCGCCAACTCCTGATGTTGTTGCGTCAGGTCCCGGTACTGTCTCTCCAACTCTGACCGTTGGTAGTTGCAAGCATACAACAACCGCGTCACGAGTTTGGAGAGGAACTCCTTGTGCTTCTCTTCCGGTGTTGCGTCGTCGCCGTTCGGTTCAAAATGTCAGTACTTGAGTCTGTCGATGCTGTTGGCTTCATGCCGCTGCAGCAGATCCTGGGCTTCCTTGCGGCGAGCTTGGGCATCTGCGTCTGCATCGGCCTGTAGCCGCAGCTGTTCTGCTTCCGCTGCCTGTACGCGGGCAGCCTCGACTGCCAGCAGGCGTTGTTCCTCAGCCTCTATCTGAGCCAGGCAACGCTGCTTGTAGGCGACAATTGTCTCATTGGCCAGTTGGCCTGGCAGGCCCGTCATGTTGCTGACGTGGCACTGCTGCTTACGTGGCACTGCTGATGTGGCACTGCTGACGTGGCACTGTGTCTGACGTGGTACTGTTGACGTGGCACTGTGTCGGACGTCACTGCTGACGTGGCACTGTGTCTGACGTGGCACTGCTGTCGTGGCACTATGTCTGACGTGGCAATGTGACCTGGCACTGCTGATGTGGCACTGCTGATCTGGCACTGTGTCGTGGCACTGCTGACGTGGCACTGCTGATCTGGCACTGTGACGTGGCGCTGTACCGAAACGGGATGCATGCAAGGGGTGGGTGGGAGGGAAAACGGAGGGAGGTAACCAACCCAACAATACTTTCCTCCGTCCCTAATCAGCAGATAAAATAAAAAAATAAAAAATAAAAAGAGGACTACTTCCTTTTTTTTTTTTTTTTTTGTATATATCTGTCGATTTATGATGAGTAGGATATGTCAGAAGAGTATTATGAACGAGATGTAGGCTACGTGCCGCAAAGTTTCAGCTTTTACAAACTGCGATTTTGAAATTTTTTTTGCGAAATGGAGTAAAGATGCGATTTTCAGAAAGAACGAAATCCAGTTTCTGAGAATATAGCAACCTCCGAATATGCCTAACGCAATATTGGTAGGCTTCGCAAGATTCGGTTTTCAAAAAAAAATTTGCGAGATAGAATGAAAATGCGATTTTCAGAAAAGAATAATTTCAGTTTCCGAGAATATGACCACTTCTATTGTTATCCCAATATGCCTAGAGAGCGAAAATACTAACTTCAGAAATTTCAGCTATGTATGCGAAATATCAGAGAAACGAAATGCTACTATCGGGAATTTTCAGACAAAACGAAATGCGATTTATCAGAAATTTTCAGATATTTGTCACGTAAAAACGAACTACTAATATCAGAAATTTTCAGATAGAACGAAAATGCGAATATCAGAAATTTCAGATAGTTGTTGCAAGAATTTTTTTTTCAGAGATTTGACTAAGTCCTACTTGCGTTACTAATGAGTGATCAATAGATCGCAAGCTGGCTACTTGATTGAGCGGGTCCTCTGAATGAGAGGTCCGCTCCGATACCAAATTGTTGCATACCATATAGGTGCAGACCAGAACAAGAACCGACCTTTCAATACAAGTATAAGATAGCACAGCGGAAGACTTAGATACTAGTGATCCGAACAATCAATGTTGTAATGCAGCCCTGAACATACATCATCATCATCGTTTCATAGTGTGAATGGGTCTGGCGCTTCACACAGGAAGACAGCGCCAGCCCAGAACATGCACAAACGAGGAGGAAGGGGATAGACGAAGAGGAGGGGGAAGATGGGAATGTTGTCAACACCGAGTCTTCGGCACCAGCCCAAATAGTCCCTCGTCGAAATGCCTGAATCCCAAGTGTCAAGTCTGGATCCAATGTCGTCAAGTCTCGAGTCACAACTCTGTCTCTCTCTGTCGTAGTCTGAGAAGTCAGGTGGCGAGAGGGTGAGAAGAGAAGGTGGACTTAGAAGAGGAAGAAGAAGAACTTTCTCTCTCTCTCTGTGTCCAGTACTAACCTGTGAAGTTGGCGCCTTGATGCAGGTACCACGCAGATGGAGCTGGAGCGATGCACCACAGGTAAGTAACACTGGCCTCCGCCAGTCTCTCTCCCACTCTACGATCTACCACCTACCAGCGCCCAGCGCTGAAGACTACAGCTACAGCTATSGCGMCCARCGCCGAAGACTACAGCTAGCGCTACTACTACTAGYGCTGAAGACTACTGCARYGCTCCTCCTGAGTGCTGCGGCCGATCTCCTGAAGACTACCTCGTGCSTAYTGAACTACCTACCYGTGAAGTGCATGGGAACCTCCTATGTACTACGGGTGTGCCTCTTGAGCCTGCCGAAGGGAGGYAGGGGCTGCAGCTGCAGCTCCTGCTCGAGCACGTGAGGAACAGGYTATTTTGGGCCTGTTCCGCATCCCTGTTTACGTGCCTGAGTCTTAGGGGCAGGTCGAAACAATGAGGGCCTGAAAATGGCCCTCCGTTTCAGGCTGAAAACTCTGGGTCTGAAAAGACCCAGAAATAGGCTGAAACGAGGTAGGGCCTGCAGGCCCTCGTTTTTCAGCATCCAGGCTGAAACGAACGGGACCTGTAAGCCCTAAGTTTTAGGCTTTTAGGCGGAATGTCCGGGACGGGCCCTGCAGGACCCGTGTGGCTACGCAGTATGCCACACTGCCACATGGATACTGGGTGGTTCTCCACGATAGAGGGTTTCCACCTTCCATTCTTCTAATTACTAATTACTAACTAGAGAGTAGAGTGAGGGCAGTCCTACTCTCCACATTCTAGCTACCAGTACAAAAGTAACTAATTACTCATCAGTGCCAATGCACCGCAATCATCATCACATTTTTTTTAAAAAGGCGTGTAAATACAATTTTTTCAAAGGCGCTTCTCGCCACTCACTTCCCACCTTCTTATTCCCAACTAATCATCATCATCATCATCATCATCATCTCATACTAAGTATTGATGTTGTAAGATTCCTCCTCAGAAGCTTATGTCATAGACGGTAGGATGGGTTGAGTAGGGAGAGCTCTATTCCGCAGGGGAAACACAAGGCGGGAGGTGTTTGCCTTCAGGGAGTAAGGGCAGACAAGAGGGACTGTTACACTCTGGGGCTGTAAGAGATGGAAGGGGGAACATCGTCTACTAGCGGTGGCAGAGTGGGACTGGGATAGCTCGAGGAATTCCGGGGGAGGGAGCAGGTAGCCACGAGGGTAGTAGGTTAGAGGGAGGATCTTCTCTGCTGGGGCTGATGAGAACTGCACTTCACCAGAGGGATTCTAATCAGCGGGGGCAGTAAAGGGAGAGGAGGTGAGTTAGGTGGAAAAAGGTGGAGTGGACTGGGGAGGCATGATCATTATCAATATTATCATCATCATCACGTTATCACCAGTCATCACCAGTCTTGTTAATCATCATCCTCGTCTTCTTTATCTAAGGTGTTGTTTTGCTCTTCCAAGGTAAGCTATGGTTTCAAAAGGTTGGAGGTTGAGTGGGGAGAGCTCTTCTCCACAGAGGCAGCACAAGGAGGGAGGTGCTCGCCTTGTAGGGGGTAACGGCAGATGAGGGGGACTGCACTAGTCTGGGGCTGGGAGGGACGACAGGGTCACATCATCTCCCGGCAGTGGCAGATTGGGCAGGCGTTGGCTTGAGGTATACCTTTAGGGGGAACTGGTTGCCTCGAGGGATTAATGGCAGTGGGGGGTTTCTTTCTTGTTGGGGCTGATTGGTACTGCCTGTTATCAGGTGATTCAAATCAGCGGTGGCAGTAAGAAGGGAACAGGGGAGAAAGGAAGGGGAAGAAAGGAGGAGGAAAGAGGAAGACAAAGCAGCATTAATCACATCATCTATCTTCAGCATTGGTCACCCTCCATCACCATGATGGGTATCTGCTTAGGGTAAAAGGAAGGGGACGAAAGGAGGAGGAAAGAGGAAGACAAAGCAGCATTAATCACCATCATCTATCTTCAGCATTGGTCACCCTCCATCACTATGATGGGTATCTGCTTAGGGTACTTTCATAATCAGAGCCCCATTTCCTAGGTGTTATTATTGAATTAGCTTATTTTCAAACTGATCAGTGTTAGTGTAATTGCCTACCTTGGGTGAACTCCATATCGAGACTGGCCGGTGTTGGGGCATCGCTCTGTAACCTGTTCTTAGGAACTTGAGGCCTGTAGGAGACTGAGGATTGCTGAGGGAGGAAAGCAGTCCGATAACTTGACCAATGGCTATATTTCACAACACAGCTTCAGAATGAGATTGGCTGAATTAGTATGGATACCAGGAATTGGGGAGAGGAAAGAAACTCAGGTCTAAGTAGATGAACATCCTGATTAGTATTTATGCAGAAAATGAAAATAATAATGTCAATTGAGCATCAGTTGGAGCCTTCTCTCCCCTTTATCCGACGATCCTGATTGCATCATGGAGCAGCGGTGTCTATGGTGTGCACATCGGCGCGCCCCTGTGCCCCGAAAACCATTTATGGCTAACCTTGCACTTTCTTTGTACTCGTGCGCAGCGAGCCTTACTTCGAAAGTCTGGCTGATCAAGAGGCAATTTAAGGCAACCCCCGAAGTCCTTAGGAATTATTTAACGTCACAATCAGGACGACGATCACAACCAGGTGTCAAATCCCTACCAGAGGTTCTTTATATACGGTCTTGTACGCGTCTCTCCCAACAAGACTGGCTAGTCCATGATCCCCTCTATATGCAACAAACAGCTCAAAGGACAAAGCAGCAAAGCATGCGTGCTCTACTCCCATGGATTGTCATGGTGATTGTGACCCGTGCTTCGACCAGGGCCGTTCAGAGGCACCGCCCTGTCTTGGCAGATTTGCCACCGGGAAGAATGTTGACTCTCAATGTAGAGCACTCACGACTCCTGAACCAGAAGAGGAAACTCAAGTCAAACTCTCTTGCTCACAGTAAGAAGAAATTGAGATGGGAAGATAAGGTAAGGGAAAAACGTGTAGGGCCCCACCCCTGTTA